GAGGACGAAAATGATTTTTCTTGATGTTAAGTGATCGGACAACCATTGGAGAGCCCAATGGATGGGCTTTATCCATTTGAAAACGTTTCAAAACCTTTTCTGTATATGTTGGTTGATGGATGAGAATACCGCTCAAAAAATGTTCAACCTGTAGCCCAAGGTAGAATTTTACCTTTCCGAGATCTTTCATTTCCAAATCTTTCTTTAAATAAATGGCTGTCTTTTCGATCTCGTCCAATGTTCCCACAAGATTCAAATCATCAACATATACTGCAACAATAACAAAACCAGATTCTGATTTGTTAATAAAAATGCATGGACAAAGATGATTGTTCACATACCCTTCTTTAAGTAAGTAATTACTAAGGCGATTGTACCACATTCGTCCAGATTGCTTCAATCCATATAAGGATCGTTGTAATTTTATCGAATACATACTACATAGTTTTGTTTCAGGCATTTTAAATCCTTCTGAGATTTTCATATAAATATCACTATCTAATGATCCATATAAATATGCTATAACCACGTCCATTAGATGCATATGCAATCTTTCTGTGACTGCCAAATGTATTATGAATCTAAATGTGGGTGCATCAATCATAGGGGAGTATGTTTCCTCATAATCAATGCCAGGTCTCTGTGAGAAACCTTAAGCTACCAATCGGGTTTTGTATCTCATGATTTCATTTTTCTCATTACGCTTTCGTACAAATACCCATTTGTATCCAACAGGATTAACACCCTTAGGTGTCTGGACTATAGGTCTAAATACATCCTGTTTAGCTAATGAATTTAGCTCTGCTTGTATCGCTTCTTTCCATTTTGGCCAATCATTTCTTCGTCGACATTCATTGACGTTTTAAGGTTCCGGATCCTCATTATCAATATCAAGAACAACGACATATGAGAATATGTTGTCGACAATAATTTCATTTCTATTCCATCTCGTTCCATAATTTTGTTAGATCTCATCATTTTCAGGTACCTTTGCCTCATCAAGGGCATGTGCCTCCTCAAGGGCCATATCATCATCTGTTGCCTTTGCCTCATCAATATTTATTATTTCATCATTTTTAGGTACCTGGGCCTCATCAAGAGCCTCTGCCTTATCAAAGGCTATTATCTCAGATTGATCAATAAAATCTGTTACTCCTTTTATGGCCTCTTCAGGAGTGCTAATTTTTCTTTGTGATTTCCTCTTACGAGGAGCAATATTTTTTGCACTGACTGGTCTGTCACGCTTTAGGTATGTTTTGGATGCATTTACTGCATTACTGATAGAAGGTCCCTTAGGGACAACAATTCCTGCTAGAATATTTGCAGCTGGTATATGTGATTTTATTACTTTCTTTGTATCAGTAAATGCTTCGGTAATTAATTTGTAACATTTTGCAAGTAAATGATCCTTTAAACTTCTCATTCACATTAATTTGTGCGAGGATCAAAATGAGACAATTTCAAGGCATTCCAAGTAATATCATGTTACTACTGTGACTTTTCTCCCCCTAATAGTGGGAAAATAGCCTCATCAAAATGACAGTCAGCAAATCGTGCTTTAAAGACATCACCTATCAAGGATTCAAGATATTTAATAATAGATGGAAAATCAAAACCAACATAAATTCCAAGTCTACGTTGAGGACCTATTTTAGTGCGTTGGGATGGTGCAATTGGAACATATACAGCACAACCAAAAACTTGTATGTGAGAGATATTTGATTATTGACCAAAAACGAATTGCAATGGTAAGTACTTATGATAAGCAGTTGGTTATATACGAACTAATGATGCAGCATGTAATATGGCATATCCCCAGATAGAAACAGGTAATTTTGTTCGCATAAGTAAAGGACGACCAATTAACTGAAGTCTTTTAATAAAATATTCGGCCATACCATTTTGAGTATGAGTGTAAGCAATAGGATGTTCAACATTAATTCCAACGAGTGTGAGGAACAGGATGTTCAACATTAATTCCAACTGACATGCAATAGTCATCAAAAGCTTAAGAAGAAAATTCAGCGGCATTATCAAGACAGATTGTCTTAATTGGGTAATCGGGAAAGTGTGCCCGTAATTTGATGATTTGAGTAAGAAGTCTAGCAAATGCAACATTACGAGTAGAAAGCATACAAACATGTGACCATCGTGTTGAGGCAACAATTAAGACCATAAAATAGGGAAATGGTCCACAAGGTGGATGAATTGGCCCACATATATCCCCATGGATTCATTGTAAAAATGGGGGAGATTCAACAATAACTTTTGAAGGGGATGGTCTAATAATCAACTTACCTTGTGAGCAGGCGGTGCATAGATGATCATTTGGTAAGATGATTTTTTAATCCTTTAGTGGGTATCTATGTGAATTTTCAATAATTCGACGCATCATTGACTACTCGGGTGACCAAGTCGATCATGCCAAAGCATAAAAGGTTTTAGGTCACATGATTTTTTATGTATCACAGCATTTGACTCAATTGTCCTAATGGTTGTATAGTATAACCCAGAAGAAAAAATATAAAGTTTTTCTAATATCAGCTTCTTGCATGAGGTAATGGAAGTAATATAGAGATTTTCCACATTTCTTTCATTTGCGGTCTTAATATGATACCCATTACGACGCAAGTCTTTAAAACTCAACAGATTTCTCCGAGATCTTATAGAATATGAGGCATCATTGATTTGTAATCTTGTTCCACGTGGTAAAATAATGTTGGCTCGTCCAGAGCCTTCAATCAAGTCAGTGGGACCTGATATTGTACTAACACTAGTGTTAGTCAAAATCAGGTGAGAAAAATATTTTTAATCTCGAAAGATTGTGTGTGTTGTTCCACTATTTGGAAGACATATGTCTTCACCATTTATTATGGAACCAGTCAGATCCATTTATATTCATGCAAATTTTTTTATTAGAAAAGAAACATTTATAACAAAAGAAACTTTAATACAAAATAGAAAATAAAAACTTTAATACAAGGAAAATAAAAACTTGTTAAAGATAACATAGTAGAAAAAAATATGAAATGAAAATAGAATTAATTGGTGTGAATATTTCCATCACTAATCAGGTGGTCTATTTTTTCATTACTGTCCTTAAAAAAATCTGATACATCCAGATTTGTGATGTCAACTGACTCGTCATGATCAATGAAATTCATTTATTTCTGTTTCCCCTTTTCTTTTATTGAGACTTAGTAAAGTTCAATCAGATGCTTAGGTGTACGACAAATGTTTTGCCAATGCCCTGTAATTCAACACCGATAACGAGTATTATCATATGCCTTAGGAGGTTAAGCCACATCCTTCTCTTTTACTTGTTTCATTTCATTATAATCTCTCCTTTGAGGATATGGTGTGGATTTCTGATTGCGAAAATTTGAGAATTGATATCATTCACGGTAATATGAGTGATTTCAACCACGACCATATTCATTATTGTGTTAGTTATTTTTACCACGACCATATTCATTATTATAGCCATTTCTACCACCATGACCACGTCCACGTCCACATCCACGTCCACGGGATGAGGCAACATACGTTTCAGGGATCAATGTCGATCCAATTGGACGAGACTAGTGGTTTCTTAACAAAAGCTCGTTATTTTGCTCTGCCACAAGTACACATGATATAAGGTCTGAATATTTTTCAAATCTACGTTCTCGATATTATTGTTGTAAGAGTATATTCGAGGCGTGAAATGTGGTAAATATTTTTTCTAACAAAAGTTCATCAGTGATCGTATTATCACACAATTTCAGTGTATAGCTGATTTTAAATAGGGCAGAGTTGTATTCAGCTACAGTTTTAAAATCTTGCAACCGCAGTTGTGGCCAATCAGCCCAAGCCTTTAAGAGGATAACTGTTTTTTGATGATCATATCTTTTTTTCAAATTTTTTCACAAACTCAATGGATCTCTTTCAGTGAGGTATTTAGTTTTTAGCTCCTCACTAATATGGCGCCGAAGAAAAATCATGGCATTTACTTTATCTTGGAATGATGCATCATTCTTTTCTTTAATTGTGTTTCCGAGGCCCATGACATCTAAATGGATCTGAGTGTCCAGAATTCAAGATAAATAATTTTTGCCAGAAATGTCAAAGGCCACAAATTCCAACTTTGTCAAGTTTGACATTTTCAGAATAACTAGACGTGACAACAAGATAGAAATACAATTTAGCATAATATATAAATAAATAAAATGGTATTAAATGAAATATTAACATAATATGAACTATTTAAACAACAAAGGCGGTAAAACCAGCCATAGTGAATAAATTATTAAACAATAAAGGTGGTAAAACCGGACATACATCATTAAGTAATAAAGACAGTAAAACCGACCATAATTATTAAATAATGGAGGCGGTAGAACTGACCATCATTAAATAATAGAGACGGTAGAACCGACCATATTTAGTAGATAATAAAGGCGGTAGAACTGACCATAGTTAGTAGATAATAGAGGCGGTAGAACCAACCATAATTTGTAGATAATAGAGGCGGTAGAACTGACCATAATTTGTAAATAATAAAGGCGGTAAAACCGACCATAATTAGTAAATAATAAAGACGGTAGAACCGACCATCATTAAATAATAAAGACGGTAGAACCGACCATATTTAGTAAATAATAAAGACAATAGAACCGACCATAGTGTGAGCACATATATCACTTAAATTAACAAATTAATTTCATGACTAATAATCAATAATTAAAATTTTCTTACCCTTTGGAGTCAGAAATATTATTTTCTTACCCTTTGGAGTCAGAAATACAATTTTCTTCGATAAAGCAAACAAACCCAACAATCTATCAAAACTAATATCACAAAAGAGATATATAGCTGAGATAGAAAGAGGAAGAGAAAGCTTCTTCTTCAAATCTCATATGGTTAGAACTCATGCTGATAACATCTTATAAATCTAATATTAAAGTATGAATACATGTATAAACAAATATAAAATATGGAAGATGAGAGAGAGTGAGATGTAAATATGAGAGAGATATGCTTATTTCATTTCTTCACTTCACAATTGCACACAGATGATCTATTTATAGCTACAAAAAATGTGGGCAACAAGCCGCTTGATAAATAAGCTGCACACTAATGCTTCATATCACTTTACAAGTACAAGTGAACCCCACATAATCATATATATATATATATATATAACACTCCCTCTTGGGGTTAACAAAACTATACTAAGAATATGCCTCATTAAAACCTTGCTAAGGAAAACCCAGTGGAACAAAACCCTAGCAAAGGAAAAAAAATACAGTATTCTTGTGTATACGACAATAGTTTTGCATAAGTTAAAACTGCTTCATTAAAACCTTGCTAGAAAAATTCAGTGGGACAAAACCTGAACGAAAGAAAAAGAGTACAGTATACCAATAATTATATATATATATAACATTATTGATCAAGAAACCAAATTTCAATTCCCAAATATTGGTATTGTTTAACTAGTCTGAAATTTAGACAAGAGCACCTCATCCACCATTTTATCATAAAAGTTGTTGTAAGATAACCCACCTGAACTAGTAGTCTCTTCAGCAATCTTCTTCCACTCCATGACTCTTCTCTTCATCTCTTTCCCCTTCTCTCCAACCATTAACTCCCTCACAAGTCTCTCCACTTCATCCCTGTGAACATCAGTTATCTCCATACCTATCCCCCAATGGTTGCAACAGAACCAACAGTTGGTCGGCTGCTCCGCGTAAGCCGGCCAACATATGGTTGGCACACCACCAGAAATGGTTTCAAGAATTGAATTCCACCCACAATGTGTCAAGTACCCTCCGATCGACGGGTGGGTAAGGATCTGCTCCTGAGGGCACCAGCTTGACAGGAAACCCTTTTCTTTGGTCACCTCCTCGAACTCAGGTGGAAGTACGGCCAAGTCACCGAGGACTAGATCAGGCCTAATGGCCCATAAGAAGTTCTGCTCGCTATTGGCAAGTCCCCAAGCGAATTCAATCAGCTGAAGCGATGTCATTCGAGCCACACTGCCAAAATTCACGTAGATCACCGAATTGGGTGGTTTTGAATCAAGCCATTCGAGACACCCAGAGTCTTCTTTCAGTAGATTTAGTCCAATGGATTTGAGTTCATCTTTTTCTGGGAGTTGTTTCTTCTCTAGGAGGTGAAGAGGACCGATTGGGTATATAGGAGGAAACATCGGTGCAAGTGCGTCCAAACAATCACGTTCCAATACGTCGATTGTATTCAAAATTATAGCAGAACACTTGTGAGATCTCTCAGCTTCATTGATGGCAAAGTTTAGCATGACATCATTAGGGTTCGTGGTTCGAATAAATGTCGGAAGCTCCTTCAGACGTATACCCTTCATGCCTGGTATCCAATCTATCACAGTGTCTAAGTACCCATTTGTCAAATAACTCTCATCTGCAACTCATCAAAGTAAGCAGTTTGATCATAACCAAATGCATTACCAATAGAAATGCAAAAACTGCAAATGCCCACCAAAAAGAAATTTTCGAATTTGAGGAAAAAAAAACCCATAGGAAGGGAAAAAAAATAAAAAAAAGTAGCTCAATGTCCGAGACTCTTGCCATTGCAAAGTTTGAAGAGATCACCAGCACGATGTCTTACCTGTATGAAGTTGGAGTTTCCTATTTCAAAACCAAACCATGAACTCGGGACTAAAATGGAACAACCTTACCGTGCTAAGGTCCAGCGTCTAATACCCCATACGAAGTATATTAAAATTAAGAATTGTATCGCATAGGGAGTAGATTAAAATTAATAATTGGGGCAAAAAATTGATTAAGTGCACTTAACACCCTTATAAAATTCTTACCGTGCATTCTATGGACTTCAAACCTTAAGATGATATATATATATATTTTTTTTATGTATAATATCACTCAATAGTCAATAGTTTTGAGTGTTAATTGCATTGAATATAGTACTCTGTTTCTCCCCAATTAATTTCATTTAAACTATCACACCTAATCTTCAAATTGTTAAAAGGCCAAATATATATATATATATATATATATATATATATATAAATCTGCAACGGGACGAATATAATATAATAAGTCAGCCTTGGCATTTTTTAATATTAGAAGTATTAAAACTAAATAATATTTTTATGTCACAAGTCACAGAAAATTAGTTTAAAGAGTTGGCAAAATTTTTTTTTTTTTTTCCCCTCCTAATGTCGAAGATAGAGAAACTGTGTAACTAACTGTATCTGTATGATCTGTGCCCAAAAAAAAAAAAAAAAATATATATATATATATATATATATATATATATATATCTGATTTTGGGCAAAAACAGAGAAATATTAACAAAAATACCTTTGATTGGTGTAAAACCCTTTTCGACCAATTGGCGATAGTAGGCGTAGCTCAAGAACCCACAAGCACTGGTGGTCCAGAACAGAACATTCGGAATACCCAATTCCTCGGCGACCTTGAGGGTGAAGCTCATGACTCCGTCGGAAACTACGCAGGTCACCGGAGGGACGTCGTCCGAGGAGTTGAGTTTTCCGAGAAGCTCCCTGAATGGAGCGCCACAGTTCTTGGGAATGGAGTCGCAGAGCTGCCACGCGTCTTGGTTGACGTCTCCGTCGATGGGCGAGAGGCCGTCGGGAATGGCGGCGAATCGGAACGACGGGAGGCCGTCGAGGGCGGTGGGTCCACGCGAACGGAGGAGGCGTCGCTGGTTGTACTCGGTGTTGACGAAGGTGATGTGGAAGCCTCTGTAGTAGAGGAGCTTGGCGATCTTGTACATGGGGAATACGTGACCCTGTGCTGGGTGGGGCACGCACACCGCGTGAGGTTTAGGCTTCTGATCTCCTCCTCCTGCCATGGCGTTCTCATACACACTCTCTCTAACTTTCTCTCTCTATGCTGCCAAATGGTTGTTGCCCCGTCTCTCTCTCTCGAGCAATTATAGCGGCTTCAGCCGGTTTTCGTACAGCACTAGTAGTCGGCTAACCGCTCATTTGCAGGAAAAACACATCCCTAGGTGAGATCAGGGACGGCACGTCTATTTGATTTACAGGATTACAACTTTGGCAGGTTGGAGTTTCAACTCCAACTCAATTTAAATACGTAATTCAATTACCATGTAGTCAAAAGGACTTTAACTAAAACAAAAAAAGTAGTCAAAAGGAATTGGCAAAAGTAAAAAATACCCCCAAGTTTAAATAAACCAGCAAAATATTACTTTGAACTGAAAAAGTAAGTAATTTAGTCATAATAACACTGAAATTGAACATATTGCCTCTTGTAGATGTCGGATTCGTCTTTTCCGTGATTTGTATAAGTGCAATTATATATATATATCTTGTATAATTATCATTTAAAACAAAAAAAAAAAACATAAAAGTGCAAAATGTCGTATATACTCCCTAATAATTGTAAGGACATGTTTGATGAGATTTGCTTAAATGTTCCTCATTCCTCATTTGAGTAAGTAGTTAGAAAGCGAAGAGGGGCGATTAAGGTATCAGTGTTCAAGGTTTCTGGTTTGCGTCACTGATCTTCGATTTCTAGGGTTTATTCTGTGGTTTGTGTTGAACATTGACTATGATCGAAATCATTCCTTGAAGAACTCTAAAGTTGAAGTAGAGAGCAAAATCGTAAGTTATTTCTGTAACAAACCTCTTTTTTTTTTTAGGTGAGTTTTAATATATGTGCCTGTATGTATATTATTGATGTTATATATTATTGATTGTTCATATTTAGATGTGATTGTTAATATATTTTTTGATTTATAGAGTTTCATATAGTTTTGGACTATGTCAGTACAATAATTGTGATTTTTGCATGTAAAAGTACCTATTTTGTGCCGAGGTTGTTGGTAGGGTTCAACATAATAATTTCGATTCTAATTTTTAGGGTTTGTGTTATGACCACAAGAATTGAGAACTTGTGATGCCAGTGTGTTTTTTATATACATTCGTCAATTTTTGTACCAATAAATACTGCCTTTGCATGTTGTGTTGGCTTTTTAGAGTTTGGTGTGATCAAAAAAATTGCTTTTTTCTTTATTAAAATATGTTAACCTCGCTGTGGGTGTCTTTTTGTGCTTATTGCATAGTATGTGTTTTCCTTTTCTTAGTGTTGACCCCCCTTGTGGTTGTCGTGGCTTGGGCCGGTTTTCGTACGGCACTAGTAGTCGGCTAACGTTTTAGATCCTCTCATTTGGTGTGGGAAAAACACATCACTAGGTGAGACCAAGGATTGACAAATCTATTGATTTACGGGATTACAACTTTCGCAGGTTAGAGTTTCAACTCGAACTCAATTTAAATACGTAATTCAATTACCATAGTGAAAAAAATAAATAAATAAATAAATAAAATAAAATAAAATATTAGGTAAAATTCTTTATACTCGCAAACAAAAGTTTATTGGGCAACCTCATTGCAAATCACCTTTTACAACTTGAACTTTTTAAAATATTTCATAATTTAATATTGGACACATGGAATTTTATTTTTAAAAAAATATTTGTCATTAGGCAACTCTAAAGTTTTTGAAACTTTGGACCTCCTCAGGAATCTCCAATTTTCCTACTAAAATAAGAAAAATTATCGGGTTTACATTTAAATCGATCAAAAACTTTTCATTTATATCATTAACTATTTCTCGAATAGAAAATGTATTAAACTATAGTTGCTCACGAATGATGCTGAGCTAAAAGGATACATTATCAACATATAATATTGAATAAAAGGCAATAGCACTATGGATCAGACCGTGACATTAGCAATTAATGCTTGGTTAATAAACAATGTTTGTTTTTGTTTTTATTTATTTATTTATTCTAAAAAATTATATTCGCGCTTCACTTTTCTTCAATTGTATTACATTTATTATTTTTTTTTTAAAGAAAATGACAAGAAAATCTTTAAATTCATTAATGCACAATTCCTTAATTTATAATGTCATAACTATCATTTTTACAACTTTAATTTTTTTTTTTTTTTTTTTTACAATTTTTTTTTTTTCCTTTCTTTTTGGTTTTTCAAGTCATCTAAAAAAAATAATTTATTCCAAACTAGTAATTTTATTTTTGGCAGTCAAAAGGGATAATTTATTCCATAGTGACTTCTTCTTTTTTTTTTTATTGTACAATCGAAAGAAATATTTATTCAACAAAATTGACTTTTTTCAATTTTGTGAAAAGAGATAACTTTATTTTTTGGTAACTAGCAAAAGAGCACGTGCAGATGCACGTGTTGTAAATCCAAGTTATTAAAAAGATTATAATAAATTTTTTTAAAAAATTATTTGATCAGTGATTAAGTTGATAAACTATAATTTATTTGATTTAATGCTTTTCAATGTAAAGCAAGGAATATGAAAATATATCTTCATATGTTATTTATATCATAAATGAGCTTTTATTTTTTATTTGCGTTTTTGTTATTTGTATTAAATATTTTTTTTACTTTTATCACACTTCTATCTATAATCATTGTATGTAGAAATCTCTCAGTAAAGCAATTCTCATATATTTTCACGTTCAAATATTTTAAATGACCATCATGCATCAAAAGCTATCTTATTTCGCTTATTGGGCTTTAAACTCAAAACCATGTATATTAAGATAAGCACAAAAGAAATAACCTTCCAGCATTTTGCATTATAAGCTTCTTCTTTCTTTAACATTATAACATTTTTGTTAAGGCTTTCCTTTCATGGATTCAAGCTTTTCGAGATGAATAAACTTTCAAAAAATAAATACAAAGGAGAAAGAAAAAAGAAAAAATAGCAATCCAAAACTCATAGAAACAAGTTGACATACAAATACTATCTAAATTAAGTAAAAATGTTTTAAAAATTGAATTAACAAATGCAAATCGAATGAAAACCAAAATAATTGAAGGCTCTGGATAATATGAACAACTAAACTCAAGTCCTCATTAGGAAAAAAAAAAAAAAAAAAGTACATGTAATCCAAAGGAAGAATACAACAAAATACTCATATTCAAATAAGTACTTCAACATAAGTACAGGAAAACTCAATAATTGTTAATTTGTTGAATGAAACCTAATAATTCTTTGATCATCACTGAAATATAATTTTATATATATATATATATATATATATATATATATATATATATATATATATATATATCATTTTGTAATCCACATGGATCAAGCACAAGATGAATAACCTTCTCGCATTTTGCATTGTAAGAAAGAACACACTCCTTCTTTCTATAACATTTTTGTTAAGACTTTCCTTTCATGGACTCAAGTTTCTCAAGATGAACGAACTTTCAAAAAATAAATACAATAGAGAAAGAAGAAAGAAAAAAATAGCAATCCAAAACTCACAAAAACAAGTTGACATACAAATACCATCTAAATTTTTTCAAGAAACGGGACCAAGGAAGATTAAGCAAAAATGTTTTAAAAATTAAATTAATTAACAAATGCAAATCAAATGAAAACCAAAACAATTGAAGGCTTTGGATAACATGAACAACCAAACTCAAGTCCTCGTTAACGAAAAAAAAAAAAAAAGGTACATGTAATACAAAGGACGAATACAACAAAATACTCATATTCAAATAAGTACTTCAACATGAATACAAGAAAACTCAATAATTGTTAATTTGTTGAATGAAACCTAACAATCATTTTATCATCACTACGCCTAATATTGAAACAATTTAATATGAATTCATCACTATGAGTTAAACTGAGTAGATGATTTAAAACAAGCAAATAACTTAACCAAGCTAATTGATGCTCCTCATTTGTCGCACATGAATTCTCATCCTCACTACCAAAGCTAATTGATGAAATATGCTCCTTGATACTTCTTCTTCTTGTGATCCCTACTTGTAATGCTCTTGTTGACATCTAATCTTGCCTCCCTCAATATTGGAGCTTGATCTTGTAATTTTTACCTCTAATTATATAATAGACTTTTATGTTATTGTTCAAAATTTTAAGAGACATCAAATACTATTAAAGTTTGAAAATTTCAAGAATTACAAAAGTTTTGCATTAAACATAAAAATAATAAATTTTTAATGAAATTTAAGTTTAAAAATTCCAAGTGGTTGTACACTTTTTGTAGTCCACTTTTAATGACATTTTTTTAGGTGGGAAATCCTAAAAGTTATCGACCATTAAAAACATGAAATGAAATTCAAGTAATTAATGTCCACTAATACTTTTAACGAAATTGGATTTAATTTAAAGTGAAAAAAAAAAAAGAGTTAATAAATACTTGGTTGGAGATTTTAAGTAAATAATACAGTTTTAATAAAATTTAAGGTTGAAAATTCTAAGGGTACCATTTCACTTTTAATTAGGGCTGCAAGTTGGGTTGGCCCAACCCAGCCCAATCCTAACCCAACCTCAACCCGAATCGGGTTGGGTTGGGCCAACCCGATTTGTACGCAATATGGGTTGTGGTCATAACTCGGACCAAATATTTTCAGGCGGGTTGGGTCGGGTTGACAGGTTGAGTTTTTTTTTTTTTTTTCAAAAATTTATATATATTATATATTATATATATTTGATTATATTATTATTAAAAATATATATATATTTTTAGGGCAAATCATTTCAGCCTCCCCAATCGCCTCCATCTCTATTCTCGTTCTCAACTCTGAAATTGCCCCCTCTCTTTCTTTGTGCAACTGCAAACTACAAAATCAACAAGAATCAGAAGTTCAAAACCCATATATTTCAGTTTATCTATCAGTCTGTAAGAATCAAAAGTTCAAAACCTATTACCTATATCAAAACCCGCATATCAATCCAAGTTGATCAAAAATCAAAACCCATTTCTTTCAATTTCCATCGCCCATTGTTCCAATTCGGGTTCGCCGTTCGCAAGCTTTAGCCGCTGTCTCTCAACTCTCAAGCATGCCCCCCTCTCAACTCTCAAGCTTCGCCATTCGTTTTAGGATTGCAGAGAAGTGTATGGACGGCGGCAGAGAGAGAGAGAGAAAGAAGAGAGAGGAGAGAGAGAGGAGAAAAAAAAAATTATTTTTTTTATTTTGGATTTTGGGTTGGGTTC